CTGTTAAGAGAGAGGTTGAACTAATTAGATGTCATCAAGCTGAAGTCAAAGTGACTGAAAGAGTTGATGATGACGAAGTGGAACCAGGTATAGATATTAAATCAGGGCAGGAGAAAGACCAAGATTTGAAGCCAATAATTGATTTTCTAAAAGCAAGTGTTGTGCGCCCTGCTTGGGAGAAGGTGTCTAGTCTAAGCCCTGTGACAAAGCACTATTGGGTGCAATGGGACCAGTTAAAGCTTGCAGATGGTGTTCTTGTACGGAGATGGGAAACTACTGATGGGAAAGTGACGACTTGGCAAACAGTTATACCGAGGAAGTTACGGGAAGTTGTGCTGCGTCAATCCTATGATAATTTAACAGGAGGACATCTCGGAATTAGGAAGACATTGAGTCATCTACGACAAAGATTTTACTGGATAGGTATGAGGCGAGATGTGGAAGAATGGTGCAGGACGTGCAGTACATGTAGTGCTAAAAGGGGACCCAAGCATAAGGGACGCCCACCTTATGAAGAGTTGCCTGTGAATATGTTAGAGTTTGTGGAAGTGGTATCGAAAAGGATGGACGATATTCACCATCAAGTGCGTTCAAACTTGAAAACGTCTGCTGATTCGATGAAGTTAACTTATGATAAGAGATCTACTGAAGTCAGCTTTGTACCAGGAGACAAGGTATGGTTGTATAATCCCAGGAAGACCAAAGGGAAGTCTCCTAATTTGTCTTCTCCATGGGAAGACCCATATGACATAGTGGATCGTCTCTCAAACGTGACTTTCCGGGTAAAATGTGGTCGGCGAGGTAAACCAAAAGTGGTGCATGCCAACAGGCTTTGGCGTTATCACGGTCCAGGACATTTCAGTTGGGACGAAGTGGACAACAGAACAAATGATGCTGCTGAAGCCGTGCCACCTGAAGAAGCCACCGTCGAAGAAGAAACTCTACTCAGTTTTGAGAAGGGAAACGGTGAAGCTCTTGATGAAGTTACTACCACTGATGTGACTGTTGTCGACGATAGGACATTTCCTGATGAAGCAGATGATCCCCACATGAAGCAGAAGCCAACGAGACGGAGACCAGTACAGAAGAAGATACGTCCCGTAAAATTAAGAGACTTTGTTGAATTGTAATTTTGTGTTTGTAATTCTGTACATTTAATTAAGTTATTGTTAATTGTTATTGGTTTATTGTAAGTGGCTATTGTTCGGGACGAACAATACTAAGGATGGGCAGTGTTGCGTCAGCGAGATCACGTGACTAGTATCACGCCACCCGTTTTCTAGAACTATCCTGTTCCTTCGGGAGTGCTCTAGCATTTGCAAGATTGGGGGTGGTCTGGTATATATAAGATGGTCACGGCGTGACATGACAGTGTGTGTAGGT